GCCGCGACTGAATTTTTTGAGCCGTGGTTTTATGGATTTGCCAGCCGTAATTACATTTCTTTGAGCTGTAATTCTATTTTACCAAGCCGTGAATTCCATATCTTGGCCATGAAAAGCCATTTACGAGGCGCAAATTTATTTACAAAGTCCGTGCACGGGTTACCCAAATCTCTAATTTTACCCTAGAACAGTCAAATGGCAACAATAAAATTTGTCTTTACTGTAAGTTGAGCACATGTTAATGCAGTCTGACCACTTTGACATGACCGCAACTATGCATGATCTTCAGCAAAAGGTTTAGTTGATTTGTTTACATTACAATGTTTATGTTTTTTCTGCAGAATATTTTGGCGGGAACGGTAAAGCAATGCGGATTGTGGAAGTTGAAAATTTTATGAAGTGACATGTTTGCAAAGTGCAAACTGCAATTTTTCAATCAAACAAAAATTTATGACATTCAAGCCGTGAGATTTCATACCTACTGAAATTATATGATATTAGAGCCGCGATATTTCAGACAAAAATAGGACTTTTCCTGCCCTGCTCTAAGGGGACCCATCAGTTATCACCCCTAAATTTTCAATTTTGGCGTTTTCTGGTTTTTGTGCTCATCTTAAAGCTTACTTTCTGATGCATCGAACGGTACCAGAATCATCTCTCTATGTCAAAAAATGATTTCATGACAGCTTCCTAAAGGGGGCGGTTTCAAGGGCCCTTCAGTAAAGTCTATGGGATTAATTCGAAGGCTGGACACACTAAAAAGGAACGTCTGATGTAAAGCGGCCAATTATGGCATTATCCAGTGATTATAGTCATCTTAAAGCTTACTTTCTGACGCGTCAAACAGTACCAGAACCATCTTTTTACCTGCATTTTGACGTACACGACGAACCGTGGAATGGAGGGTGGTGAGGGGCAGCCTTCACTATTTGAATGGGAGATAATTCAAGAGAAGCTCTACAAATATCGCGTATAGCGGCCAACACACTCAGTGCCCATCAAGACAGGCTAGACAGCAAGGTGTAAGGTGTGCTGCCAGTCGCTCTATGCCTTGCTGACTTGGTTTGAAGCTTAATTACAGTATCTAGGTTACGTTACGACTCATTTATGTCCCTTTACGTGCAGCGCTGCAGTATTTTGAGCGTGTTGTACACCTATATTTCTCCCAATTGCTCTCATGGAAAATCTATCTCCTCCTAGAGTTTTGAAGCTACAGCAATGAGAGACATATCATTCGATTCGTGAAGACCATACCTATCGACCTAGCCATCCCTTTTTTTAAATTTGTGTATGGTTCATCATATATATGGGGGAGAAGGGGGGGGGAGGGTGAAAAATGAAAAAAATGGGAAAAACAGGCATAAAAAAAACTATGGGGAAAATGAACAAAAGGGATGGCAGAGTCAATAAGTATGGTTTTCACAAATTGAATGACACATGTCTCAATGTTGTAGGACGATACTTGTAGGAGGAGATGCATTTTCTAAAGTACCCCTTTTTATAATAATAATAATAGTAATAATAGCGGTTTCAGCGTTAGTAGGCCGTAGGCCTGTCGCCGATTCTTAACATCGCAGAACATTCACAGCATTTTGCGGTCTCGAACTCGCAACTCACTGCTACAATTTTGCTGTGCTTAACCGCCCGGCTGCGTTTTCCATGAATTTCACATTTTCTATCAATTTTTTTGAAAAATTCTTACAAGCAAAATGTTATTTTTTTCACATTTTACGTATGTATGTGAAGTTTCATGATGATCGGATAATAACTGGAGAAGTTTTTATGGAGGGTGATGGGTCCTCTTAAGTCATTACCTGCCTTCACTAAACTTAGGCTTTACATATTTAATGAGCTTGTAAATTCAACATTACTTCTAAATTAAGAGGATATGATTAATCCTTTTTCATAAAATCCTGCAGCACTATAACTACATGTATTTTATTCAAGTAGAAATATAATTGAAACAAAGTCATCTACTTCGCCTTTGGTCTGAAATAGTGAAATAGGTAATTTCAACAAAATTTTATGATATATATTTATATAACGTATTTAGACTCCAGAGCTGCTAGAGCATACTAGTAGTAGTAGACCATAAGAATTTAAGATCTCCAAGCCCAAGGTAACAAGTACCCAGAGTTCATTTAGGAAGCCAGACTGGAATATCGGGCAGATTTTTCAGAATACCGCGTGTGAAAAGAGGCTCTTCAAGGGTAAAGTTGGAAAATTGTGGGTGAAATTTTTGTCCTCCCGGGTGCTTCTCAAAAATCGCAGGTGAGAATTTACTGTTCTTGGGCAATTTATAAAATTCCTTGTGAACAGCTGCACCCTGCCATCTCTCAACTTCTCGCGTCAAGCGGCCGAACAAGAGGTGCGCTGCCATAGACCAGCAAATTACCTCAAATCAGCCCTGGAGCAAACATCAACCTTCTAAATGCTATTGATATAGTCATCCTGGCAGTGGCACCTAAGCAGCTGTACTCAATTGGCCCATCGTACCACGCAAACTTTAAACCAACAATGCTTCAGCTCATAAGTGCTATTCCAAATAGTTAACAGTTGATACATCATTCTCCAATAATTTTCAACCCATACCATCACCTCGATGGATTGGATCGTTGGCAAGCATATGTATATGATAGTTGCATGTCGGAAGGTTCTACAGGCGATTAAGTTGAAAACACTGTTTGTCGAGTCATTACTATGAAGTTCTTAAGAAATTAATGTAGTAGTAAAATAGATAATAAATACGATCCAAAAGTCACTTGATTTAGTTGTATAACATAAATAATCATCAGAATACTTCAGGCCAGGTGGCCCAGTTGTTAAAGCTCAAAGTACCAAAATTGGAGCTGACATGTGCGTGTTCAATACAGCTCTGCATGTGCACCAGTTTCTGGTCAGAATTGACAAGGAAGAGCAGTCAAGCAAAATTGGATCTGTGAGTTGCGTGTTTGAGACTGCAACAAGCTGTGAATGTTGTTGTTATGAATAGGTGGCAGGCATATGGCCTCATAAAAGCTGGAACTGTTATTTTTTGTGATTATTGTATTGCTATTGTTTATTGTTAATATCTGAGCATACCGCTGGAATGGGTCATCTTTATTGGTTAAGTGAGGGAAGGTATTCAAGGTTCTTTAAGACTCAAAAGGGTTAAATAAAAGATGGCCTCCCAACTCCCCTTATAGCCATCCCTGTCCACCAGGTGTTTTTCTCTTTTTGTTCAACTTTATTTACTTCTAATACAAAACTTCATTATAAAGAGACTTAAAATTTAAACCTAAGAGAGTGCTAAATCAAAAACCTAACCAACTACTGGATGAATGTTTAACCATTAACTGGGGAACTGGGTAACCAGATAACCGTATAACGGGGAAACCTGACAACTGGGCAACTGTTCAACTAGGCAACTGGACAAACAGACTACCGGACAACCGGGCAAACGGAAAACTGGCAACTGTACAACCGTACAAACAGACTACCGGGCTCCCGGACAACCTGGCAAACGGGGCATGGGTTGCTTATGAAGTACTTGGAGATGCTTCTGTAAAATATTTACATTATCAACACCTAACACACTATTATTAAACACAACATCAATACAAACTTCAAAACATATACTGTATACACAATAAACTATCAAGCAGGATAACAGATAAATATATTTCTCATCTATAATGGTATTCTCAACACAACATTAAAATCTTCATCAATGAATATATGAGCAGTGATTAAAAAAGGTATATCTTGGCAACTACTCACCAACCACAGGCAGTAGTGTGAGTATAGGGTATCAACTGATAGGAGATTTGGAATTTGAATCACCACTGACACATAAATTAATGGTCTGCAAAAAGGGCAAAGAGAATGAGATGGAGAGCACTGATAACACAAATATTGATGTTTACCATGAATTTCAAGATTCTAAAAACAACTCTACATTAACTCGGAACTGGGGTAGCGTTACTTCCCCAAGTGGGATCAAGGTAACCATCACTCTCCAGCAGAAAGAGTGACGGCCCATAACACCGCCTTCAATTTGCTGGGCCGTATGTATCCAACTTGGTCATATGGCTGCGTATTCTTAAACATGTCCATGTATTCTTATTATTGTGTTCTAATAATATAAGTGTCCATGTATTCCTAATATTCCCCATATTCTAAGTATTGTATTCCTAATATTCCTTTCAATATAAGTGTCCACATATTCTAAATATTATATTCCTAATGTTCTTGATAATATTGGGGTCCACGTATAATATACCTATATCATATTCCTAATATTCTTGATAATATAGTGTCCACGCATTCTTAATATTGTATTCCTAATATTCTTGATAATATAAGTGTCCACATATTCTAAATATCGTATTTCTAATATTCCTTATAATATGTGTCCACGTATTCTTAATATCGTATTCCTAATATTCCTAATAATATAAGTGTCCATGCATCCTTAATATCGAATTCCTGATGTTCTTATTAATATGTGTCCATATTCTTTATGTTCTTAATAATATGTGTCCACGTATTCTTAATATTGTATTCCTTTATATTCTTAATAATATAAGTGTCCACACATTATAAATATTGTACTATTCCTTATGTTCTTAATAATATAAGTGTCCACGTATTCTTAATATCGTATTACTAATATTCTTGATAATATAAGTGTCCACACATTCTTAATATTGTATTCATAATATTCTTAATAATATAATTGTCCATGCAGTAGATAGTAAGTAATTCCTTTTTCCTCTAAATTTAAATTGACAAAAATGTGGAGGTTAAGAGAAATTGTTTGAATACCGTATAAGATTAGCTCACTTCAATCAGTTGTTGTGGTTTTCTGCTGAGTGCTACTGAGGCACCGGCATGGAATATATCTACTTTCTGGGCCACAGCTGATTGAAAATTATGAACCTTTGTTTTTTAATGTGTGTAGGAGGTTAAGAACAAATTTCTTCACTGTAAAATGCTCTAAATGCTCTTAGGAACTGAAATGCATGTTAAACAGTGCTATAAAAAGATAGATTCAAATCATACTTTGCAATGTATTTATAGCACAGTGCCATTAACTTATAATTTTCCACACAAAATCTTGAACTAACTTGAAAAATATTCAAGTTGGAATAATGCCTCATGACAATTTGAGAGATCAGTGCTTAGCTTCTAAATCATTGCCTGGAGACAATGATGATGGCAAAGAGCTGGAGGCTGCTCATGTGTATCTGCTGCTCAAGAAAGACCTCCGCATTTCTCGGAATGTTCGAGCAGAGTGGTACCTGGAACATCTCAATACGGTCATCAGAGTGCCACGCTGCACTTCAATTGTAAGTTAGGGCTACTGTTCTGTTGCTCCTAGTTGATATATTTTTCTTCTGCCTAATGCTACAATTATGGGGCATTTGACACAATGAAATGTGTAGTAATATCTTACTAATTCTTACTACATAAGAAATACATTATGTAATTAATACTGGTTGCTTGTGATGTTGATTATCAAATTCATTTGAATTAATTGAGGTTTTGTGAAAAATCTTTTCATCTATTATAAACTCATAGTCCTGGCTGCAAAATTTCAAAGGTATATAAATGCAGTACAGATAGTTCTTCTTTCATTTATATATATGCTGCACAGATTGTTCTTCTTTCATTTATATATATGCTGCACAGATTGTTCTTCTTTCATTTATATATTTATCATATATCTTTCAGCATGATCTCACTGAGGAACTCAATGTGATGTCTGCTGAGCCCTTTGATCCTCCTGCTGATTTTGACAGTGATACAGCTCATGAATACAGGTTAGTGCATATACACGTCATATAAAGTTTTGTTCATTTGATTCGATTGGCCTGATGCCAGTGTGAGCTTGATGCTTGAGTGAGCTTGATGCATGAGTGAGCTTGATGCACTAGTGAGCTTGATGCACAAGTGAGCTTGATGCACAAGTGAGCTTGATGCACAAGTGAGCTTGATGCACGAGTGAGCTTGATGCACAAGTGAGCTTGATGCACAAGTGAGCTTGATGCACAAGTGAGCTTGATGCACAAGTGAACTTGATGCACGAGTGAGCTTGATGCACGAGTGAGCTTGATGCACGAGTGAGCTTGATGCTCGAGTGAGCTTGATGCACGAGTGAGCTTGATGCACGTGTTAGTTTGGATTGATATCTAAGTTGTTGGTTGCTCTCTTTGATAGGCCTTGTGAGAAACATATTCTGCAAGTGCAATTGTCTACATCTTTTGATAATGGTGCTATGAGCGAGTCTCAAAACACAGGTGTGTTTTTTTTTCAGTGGTGATATAGATGAATGCCCTATGTATCAAATTTGTGATAACTAATATAGGTACTTATTCACTATATAAATATGTATTGTAATGCCTTATAATAATGCGTTATTGCTACTAATCAAGGATTTTTCACTTGCACACTTCATTAAATTGATTTGTACCTAAGTTTCTTTGGAAATTTCATGCTTTTAAGGTGTCAAGCTTCCCCATTAATTTGATTGTTAGAACTTGAATACTACTACTGGTACTGCAGCTTCTACAGAAGCTTGTAGTTTGAAGTTACAATTTTAAGTGTTGTTTTCATTTGAAGCAACAATAAAACAGTGATTGATCTTGGATTGCTTTGATATGAGGAATACTGACATTATGATTATTTATTGCGCTGCAGGTTTCGTATCACACGACGGACTGAGGTGCACTGCTTGTCTCGCAAGTACCGGCTTGTGTACGGGCTAGACTTGTCCCCTTCGATGTGCCGGGTCATCCTTGGAAATGATGGACGGGCACATGTTTTGCTTGACAAAGTGCACACTGCTTTGAAGAATGCAATTAAAGGAGTTTTGCAGCCTTTTCTTGTGCCTGGTTAGTTTAGATGTGGTGTACGTGACAGTCCTGGCGCACACGAACATGTTCAGGTGTGACTGGCAGCTCGTGCTGGTGCAAGGCTGGTACCTCATGGCGCACAACCTAGACTTCTTCCTGGACCATCTTAAAGAGCAACTTGAGAAACTTAACATCCTTCTTGCTGAGGTATGTTCAATTGGAATTATTATCAGTTGGAATTATCTTCCTGGACCATCTTAAAGAGCAACTCGAGAAACTAAACATCCTTCTTGCTGAGGTTTGTTCAATTGTAATTATCTTCCTGGACCATCTTAAGGAGCAAATCGAGAAACTTAACATCCTTCTTGCTGAGGTATGTTCAATTGGAATTATCAGTTGGAATTATGAGTTGTAATTGTCCGTTGGAACTATTTATTATGAGTTGAAATTATCCTCATGGACCATCTCAAAGAGCAACTCGAGAAACTAAACATTCTTCTTGCTGAGGTATGTTCTACTGGAATTATTATCAGTTGGAATTATCTTCCTGGACCGTCTTAAAGAGCAACTTGAAAAACTCAACATCCTTCTTGCTGAGGTATGTTCAATTGAAATTAACAGTTGAAATTATTTATCAGTTGGAATTATCTTCCTGGACCATCTCGAAGAGCAACTTGAAAAACTTAACTGTCTTAACATCCTTCTTGCTGAGGTTTGTTCAATTGGAATTATCAGTTGAAATTATTTATTATCAGTTGGAATTATCTTCCTGGACCATCTCAAAGAGCAACTCGAAAAATTCGACATCCTTCTTCCTGAGGTTTGTTCAGTTGGAATTTAGTATGCTCCTCCCCCCTCCAAGCGTGGGAAATTTTTGTACTACCGGTACTCATGATTCTTTTAAATTTATGAAATCAGTGAAAAAGATAAACATCGTCTTGTGATAAAGTTTGACTAGGTAGTAAATCAAAAATTTTTAACAATACCCATTCCAGCTTTAAAATACAATAATCAGTGCACTAAAAATTGAGGTTACAAAATTCTTGATTTCTATGATCAGTGGTAATTTGATCATTATATTTTGACTATTTATACCTATTGGAAAGTTTCATTCATCTATAGTTTTTAATCTTATTCTAATTAATGCAACAGGACGTGATTGACAATTGATTCATAATCCTTGTTCATAAATGATCCTAACAGAAAATGATCCTTGTTCGTAACAGAACGTCATGAAACTGAACCAGAAACGGAACTCTGCTGTAGACATGACCGCAAGTAGTGCCCACCAGCCTCACGTGTTCGACCCCTGGTCTGGAGATGGAGACTCATCACCGGAGGCTGATCTTGACGTCAGTTTAGACCAGAGCTACGATCCTCCTGCTAGTCAGTCTCTTCTGTCTAGAGGCAGTCGTTTAGACCAGCCAAGTAGTGGGAGCTACTCTAGCAGCACATACAGCAATTGTCTAAGTTACGGTACGCGCACCTCTAGTCCTGTGAGACGCATGAAGCCTCCAGCATGTCACCACTCACAGTGCGCGTCTCAGCGAAACTACGCTCGTTACTTGGAATCAATTTCTCGTCCTAGTCCCTTACGCTCAGACGCCGCCAGTAATCGCAAGAGGAGCCCTGACAGAAGCCGCGTACGGCTCATTTCTGCAGGAGAAGGCAGCGTGAGCAGCGATGACGCGTCCAAGACTTTACTGGAGCCTGTGCTGTCGCCTGAGCTGAGTCTTATGAACCTGTTGCGGTACTGCGTTGTGGCGCTGCAACTGCTGCCTCAGAACAGCATTTCCGGTTAGTAAATATTTTCTTACTACTAACAGCATTTCCTGTAAGAAAACATTTTCTTACTACCACCGTCTCAATTCTTGTTACCGGTAGGTGAATTCAATATATTAACTGATTGCAATAGCATTGAGTGGAAGTTATTCAGTAAATTTATAAAGTCATCTCATTAGGTGACTTCTTTCCATTTATTGCTTCGTCTTGACTATGTAGGTGGTGCTTGAAAGTAGGGCTTAATGTGTGCGGTGTGCAGGTTATTATAATCATGTTCGCATTATGTTAGTAATTGCCTATTGTATTTCGTGGCTATTGGAGCAAAATTTTGCGAGTTGTTGCGATTGGTATTTTCTGAATTTTTACTAAACCGTTCCCATGTGAATATTTTCTCAATGCATAGGTAGGTTTTATTTCTCTTGATTTTTTGTGGGTCAAAATTATCATAGGCTATAGAACTTTACATATATATGTATATAAACATCTCTTCCTTCATCCAACGTTAATGTCACTACTCTGATTTTTAAGGCATATAGATAGGTATTATCAAAGTCATAAAAAATGCCTATTGATTGCGTTTTCCTCGACTTTTTATCTTTTAAAATGGCTATTCTCAATTCTACTAGAAAGATAAGTTGGTGTTATTTATAGGAGTCCATTATTTAGGAAGATAAGTTGGTGTTATTTTTTAGCAGTCCGCCATTTTGAGCATCATTACCCGAGTCCTTGCTTGCAGGGATCATCGTGATAACTGATGGTGTGTGCTGCCTCTCAGACGCGTCGCTCTTCGACGCGTTCCTGAACCACATGCGCAACTCTACCATCTCCATCAGCTTCCTGCACCTAACCGCCAAGCCAACACCTGTACTCGAGCCGCCCTCTGCTTCGTCTTGTACTTCTCATGAGGCATCTCCTGTTCACCACACCGAATACATCTATCCTGACTCCAGGAACGAGCCTCGAGTTGGACAAACTGACCCTCAAGGCTCAGTGAGTGCTCTTAAAAATGAAATTCCAGAAGACCGAACGAGTGCAAGTGTTCCCGAACGTGACCCGCGCTACCCGATGTCAGCTCCTCGAGTTACCATAGAACCATGCCATCCGCAGGACGCTGGGCAAAATTCACGGAAGCCAACGCTAGCCTCGGTTGTGCAGAGTGCGCTGCGTAGGCTGGCATCTTACCCTGCCGTGCCCGAGAGACGCATGGTCGAGGAAGATTTCTTCTCGTTGGACGGCAGTTCTGGGATCTCGTTGAGCCGTCAACAAATGCTACAGCTTAGGGAAGAAGCCCTTTGGCGTCAGTCGACCGTTCTGTTGTCCAGGAAACAGTGTGAATTTTCTCCAGTGAAGGAAGCAGTAAAAGATGCTTCTGAAGAAATATCAGATCTGTCAGATAGGGAAGAAGCTCTAGATCATTTCGACCTTGACGATGAAACAGCCTTTGAAGAAGATGTCGACCTTGCTGAGTGCTGGAAAAGTGTGTGGAGTGGCCAGATTCATTGGCATGATGAGAGTTCCTCTCAGGCCTTCGATAGTTCAATATTTTATGAAGACGAATCCCCAATGGACTGGAATTCTGTAATTCAACCTAATGACGAGACTCTCCTGAGAGACCTCGATGCTGACGCCGCTTTTGAGAAAGAGGTTTATGGCAGCACAGCCCCAAATGAGGATCTCGATGTCACCATTCAAGACCCCAAGTCTCTAAAAAATGATTCTACAAAATCTCAGGCCTCACTTAATTATGAATCCTTAAAATTTGCTGTATCTGAAGCCTGTCGGATACGGAAACGAAATATGTCTGATAACTTGTCGACCAATTCGGATAAACGACTTGGCCCTCACGAGCAGCACGACTCGCTAAAGCAAGGGACCGGCCTCTTCTCGCTGGAGCGCGTCGATGCCAATAGCCGCTTCTCTAACTTCGTCCTGGGTTCAGCCAAAGGCCTCTACCCTTCGTGTCGGGAGTTTCTTCCATCCCGACTTCAGGAACTTGTGTCTTCAGTTGCGGACTCCTTGCCGTCGCAGATGCGTCCCAACCCACACCTCAGACCAGGATTTCTTGACAATGGCAACCAAGCTGCCGCCTCCAATCAATGCGAGACGCCAACAATCCCTTGGGGAAGATGGGATCCTCGAGAAAGATTCCGATATAATAAAGAAGAGCAAGAGGACGATCCTTGGATGGACCCTGGCAACGACCACTTCGGGCTCGTCGCCTACACGGACTTGCTTAAATTCCTCGCTGCTGCCACGGGAGGCGCCTACATGGATGTCGTGCCCAAAATTGTAAGTTTTTCTCTAATTTTAACATGAATTCTTGCAGTGTGCTTAGAAAGATGAATAAAAATCATTATTCAAATATCAGTTATTAGAAGTGAATGTACACTCAAGATGTGATAAAATGTTGACGTTTGTTTGTTTGAAATGTGTTTATTGACGTTTGTTTGCTCCTACAGACGGAGGAGTACGTGTACGCCATGAGTCTGTACCACAGGACCTTCTTGTCGTGGGACTTCCAGCAGCTGAGACTCTTGGATGCTTGGGGCGTCGTTAGGCCCGACTCGTCTTCCAAAACACAGTTAGTATTTATCAATTGTCGGAGTGTTAAAGTTATTTTACTTGGCTTTATAATAAGTTTCATGTGCAATAAATTATTATTGGTTATCGAACTCGACAAAAACTTGCATTGGTTATTTCGTTGAGTATGTTTTGCCTTTTTGTTCGTTTAAGTAACTTGACTTTACTCAACAGCACGAATTTGATGCAACATCGCACGATTTTAATGAATTTCGTGTACAATAAATTATTATTGGTTATCAATCTCGACGAAAACTTGCATTCGTTACTACGTTGAGTATGTGTTGGCTTTTTGTTCGTTGAAGTAATTTGACTTTACTCGACAGCACGAACTTGGTGCAGCATCGTACGAGCGCCTGTGTGAGAGAACGCTCTGAGCATCTCGACTGCAACTCCCGCACCCTGCTCAGCTGTCGTCTGCGTGAGGGGTTCAGAGTGCGTGCCGTGCACGAACTCCACGGCCACGACACCGTGTTCCTCACGCTCCCGTGGAAGCACGGCGTGCTTCTCCACTACACGGTCACTTCAATCGGCAACTCAGACTCTGCGCGGGGATCAAACGTCAGGGTGGAAATGCACGTGGAAGCGCCCTACGAGTTTTTGGTGGACCTCGAGAAGCTCGATCAATGGAAAGGACGTTTGCCGTTCCGTGGACAGCAGGAGTTGCTGGGGTCCGTGTACCGCCATCAGCTCGTCACGAAATACAGAGCTACGGTTAGGGAGCTCAAAGAAACTGACGACTTGTTGGTGCGACTGCAGAACTTTGCCAGCAATCCTTTGCACTACACCGTGCCGCAGCACAGCGTCAGGGGCTTGCCCTTCTTTTACTACAAGCCCAATGTTGGGCTCGTGTCTCTCAAGTGAGTTATGGTTTTGTTTAATACCAAAATCTTATATTATAAGGCGATCGATGAATCCCTGCATTTTAGTTTTATTTGTGGGCTGCAAATGATTCATTCTACAAATTCAAGCTTGAACATGTCAGAATCTGATCATTGGTTAATCAGATTCTTTGACATATTATCGGACAACCGTGACCTCGTGATATGACTTTTTTGACACCGTGACTTTGAGCCTTGATATATATTTATTGTAATTGCTACTTAATCTCATTCGACAATATGCGACAAAGATATTGAAGTTATGATAATTTGTTGGTCAGTGAAAGCGGCGTAAGCAACATCGTGTACGAGTTCTGGCGGCCGCTGTGTACAACCACAGGTACTTGTATACTTATTGTGGCTAATGCTGCTCTTCTAGTGTCTCTTTGCATGCAACCACAGGTACTTGTATACGTACTTATTGTGGCTAATGCTGCTCTTCTATTGTCACTTTGCATGCAACGACAGGAGAACATGTATTTTGTGTGTATTTTGCTGGGTACTTATACTTATTGTGGCTAATGATGCTGTTCTATCGTCACTTTGCATGCAACGACAGGTACTTGTATACGTACTTATTGTGGCTAATGCTGCTCTTCTAATGTCACTTTGCATGCAACGACAGTGTGATGATGTCGGATTCAGTTGATAGATAAAAAGTTTTTATATTTATTCAAGAATCCTAACAGTTTAGATTCGCGATCATGACTAGACTATTAAACTACAGAAAGGAGAGGGACTTCGCTCTGTCCTGCCGAGATAAATAAATGACTCAATAAATACAGGTCGAAATGAACAATACAGGAAAATAATTCAATAATCCAAAATACAATTATACAATGATATACAATACAGTGATATTTTAACAATCGCAGTTGATTTTATTCATGTGATAACTTAATTGATTTCACTTCGTTCTGTGCTCGGTATTGTCAGCCTGGGTCTGGTGCAGTGCCGGCTCGCTGAGCTCACCCTCGGCACGCTGCTCGCCAAGTGGTGTCATCTGGTGCTGCTCGAGGGCCAGACTTACGTCAAGTTCCTCTACAAGTGAGGATATAACTTCCTGCAGACAATGTAGAGCTCTGCAGGCCTCTATATTGTTTAGATTTCGTCTATTCGAGTGCCAGACGCACGTTTCAAACTGTACTCTTAACACATTGGACCCGTATAATTTATATTACTGATTTGTCGTTTGTATTAAGGACCGTATTATTTTATTTGAGATATAAATTATTGGAATTTCTATTTATGTGATATATGAATTACGGGCGGCATTCATGTAACGCAAGTTAGATTTTGCCAATCATTTCACTTGAGTTTCTCCGTTAAAATTCAGTGTACCTAAAATTTTCTCCTCAATTGCCGCCGTATTCAGGAAGGACTTCGACGGAACCAAGGAGTCGCCAAGCGAGCCTGACGAGGGTGGCTCTCCTGTAGCCCCTCGCTCTCCTCACGTCAGCGCTGCTCAAGAAGACAGAAAATTTCTGCGTTCCCTGACCATCTCGCATCCAATTACGAGAAGTCACGACTCAGTCCAAAGCGGCGGCAGCCCGGAAATTCCAGGCAAAATTCCCTTCGCCAGAAAACGGCACCTCGGTGACTTTGAATTCAGCAAAGATCACTCAGCAAATACTTCATTCGTGGACAATTTCGGGAATTCTTCTTATACGTCTTCAGTCTCCCGGGTTTCCAACCGTGACAGTGGGCTTGAGTCCTCGAGTATCTGCAGCGGAGCTGAGGTTGGCAATTCACGCGGTGCATATCCGCCTTCAAGTTCCTCGATGTCAGGTCTCTCAGACAGCCGAAAGAGGGACAGGAAGAGCAACGCCCTCAAGATGGACGTCCCTCAGGAGCTGGAGGTGCCGCAGTCCTTCATCCTGGTGCGCATCAGTCCCGCTAAGCCGCCCTGCATCACTCTACGGCTCGCCTTCCTTGGCGGCACTCCCGGCGTCGTTCGGCAGAGAGTGAGCGTTATTCGTATCTGGTCTCCGAAATATCTCGCGTGTGTTCGTTTAATAAAATTCTCTAATTATGTTGCTAATGGATGAAACTACGTATTGAAATAATGAACCGTGTGAGGTTGTTGATAGAATAGGAATTATTGTCACTAAAAAATATTGCTTGACGTGCAGCTGGTGGAGGAACTCACGGCTCTAGTGGGCCGCCTGACGTTGCCGCTACGTCAGCGTCATGGCAGGAAGCTGCTCACCAGGAGAGGAATGGCAATTTCTGGCTTATCCATTCCTCCACCGCCCCCACCACCTGCACATTCTCGTCTGTCTGCTCACTCGTGCTCTCCGGCTGCTTCTGTCCCTTCTCCAATCCCCACTTCTTCAGGTTCATCCGCCCTCACTCCTGCCGCCTTTGGCTCTGAGCTCACTACTCACGCCCTGAATAAACTCAAAGAAACTTCACATGAAGCTACTGCTGGGGCCACTGCCGTGGGGCGTTTTAGCGTGGGTACTGTTGACTCGGATTTGGGGCAAGACTCGCTACCTGCCGGGGGCGGTGGGTCTACTGACGGAGTGCGAGCAGCCTTGCGGTCTGCTAAAGGCTCGGCCGCCGCCTCTACTTCTGGTCTTGCAGCAAAGGTGAGCTGAAAACTTGCCATTTTCTGCCACTTTTGTCTTATTTTGTTATTATCGTTTGAGGCCTTTTATTCTTTCATGGGGTTTTCTCTACATTTTAGTGACTGCATTACAGTTTTAGTGTCACTTTCTTATTCGGTCACCATTGCGGGATGATCTTGATATTCGTAGTTATTTTGTCATTAAGGAATTTTCAGCAAATGTTAATGACATTGAAAGCGCTTGATCTTGTATTCAATGTATATTTTGCTAGGTACGGTACTAATTATTTTTTAGTGAATTAAACATGCGGCAACGAAGGTGTCTGTAATTTTCTCGTTATGTACTACTTCTTAAATTATTTGACAATATCCGGTAAATTGACTATCCCATGCTCATTTAATCTCCAAATGCGAGATTAAATTTGATTCATTTGCCAATATTGCCATTTTCATATCTTAAAGTAATAAGATCCAATTCACATCTCGAACTCGGTTTTAATTTCTTTCCCGGTCTCACTTGGGAAAGTTGGTTCCTCGGGGAAGCTGTTCAGATTATTTTCAATATTTGGCTAGAGATATGAAACAAACTTACTTCCTCCTTTTCTCAGTTAGCAGAGGACGAGGTAAGACTTGACAAGTTTTCCTGTAAGGATCCATACTTTGGTCATGTTAATGCTCCGTTTTCCTTCTTTGAATTCCCTCGCTCTTGTCCTCCTAAACATTATAACCCTCTGCTAGTTTAGGTTATTGGCCTCGTTATTCTCCTCATCATTCTTATGAATGTTTTCTTTATCCCATATGACTCTTTGTTTTATTTTTAACGTCAAAAGCAAACTCGGTAGAGACAGATTGCTTCGAAGTTTCTGGCTTTATAGTGGCAATTTATTTTAACCTGTAATTCTCGACGCTATCGATTTTCGCCCCCTTCATGAAAGCAAGATTATGGTTCTCAGCTCCAGTTTCAACCTAATGATGCGCGTTCAAACTTCAAACCCATGCTAACTGGTCATATGAATGGGCTGTGTTTCATCATGTTCGTGTAAAATGTAAATAGTTATGCTTCAAGTTGCAAGATCTCCAGTTTATCCTTTATGTTCGTAGAGATATTGACGTTACTAGTGTTGCTCACGCTCGCTTGTGATCGTATCAGTGGTTTTACATAGATATAGAAATATATTTGTTTCATACATATAGAGATGTTTTTTGGAAATGAATGTATTCAATAACGGTTGTATTTGGTTCGATTAAAAAATAGGCATGTTAGTGATGCCCTCCGAAATGAAATGCTTAGAAATGGGATATATAATAAGTATGAAAACTCGTATTGAAATAATGCGCCATCTGAGGTTGTTAATAGAATAGGACTTTACTCAATAGGGATATTCCTTTAGACGCAACCGTTGGTGGGGTTTTTCATCAATTATGGAGTATCCACCCCCACTGTATTATTATGAAAATGAATATGAAAATATACATGGATAAAGTGGTGGTAATAACTGTCTTCGGCGTGTGGCTGCGGTCGTTAAAGTTTATTTGCTTCTAATTATATTGTGTAATTTTAATTCACCCCGAAGGTGGGTGTGGACGAGGCGAGTATGGGGGAGCTTCAGTCACCCGTGCCTCTGCCTTGCTGCGTCATCACCCGCAAGCAGATTGACAAGATCCTTATATGGTGGGTGCTTGGGTGTCCAAAACTTGTGTTTGTAGGGAAAGAAAGCTAATGAGCTGTTTTAGGGAACGTAATGTTGGGACCACCATGAAAGCTCTATATATTCTTAGTGTAATGAAAATGTTCGGGCGTGGATGACATATCGTAGAGTTGCAAGTGTGAGTTTCATGCAGTTTGAACTCCTCAAAGTTCGGTTGTCCGTATGATCGTGTGGCCTGTGATTGAGAGTTGTTCTCTATTACCCAGCATTTTATCAGCTCGTCGGCGTAAGCCCTTGTCGATTGTCGAGCAAAAAAATAACTTTTTCCCATGTTTGTGCTGTGTTATTAGGCATTTTCGAGCAAAAAATAATTCAGTTTTTATCATGTCTGTGCGGTGTTACCAGGTACGACAGTCTGCCGAAAAAGATGATGGAAGTGATGCCCGAAGAGTCGACTATGCACCTCAACCATCCCATGACTTCGTTCAGTTTCAAACAAGTGTCGGTGAACAACCAAGCGCTACTGAGCAGATATCTTCACCATAGACGCTGGATTTGGTCCATCGTACCTTCCCTTAAAACTGAGATCCTTGCAGACCGAACTCAAGCTTCTTCTGGTAAACCTGCTGCTGGGGTCGGTGTGGCAGCCGGTGGGGAAACAAAAAATTTCAGAAATTTTTCGGATGGGAGAGAGACCCGACATTTTTCGGACGAAAAGGACAATCGAAATGGTTCCGATGGAAAAGAAATGCGCAATCCTGACGCTAGAGATAACAGAAATATCTTCGATGGAAGGGATAACCGAAATTCGTCTGATGGAAGAGATAAGAAAAGTTTGAGCGAAGGCAGGGGGAGACGGAGTGTCTCGGGAACGTCGAGTGTGACCCTCGCTGACGGCGTCGCTGACGACGACGAGCATCAGCCGCTGTCGGTGCCACCGCCTGACATCAAGACGCTGTCTAGGATCCTGCACTCTCTCACCAGGTTGGTTTACTATCATTGTATTGTTGGTCAATAATACATCGGCATTCAGTTAATTTCTAATTAAAAGTTCAATTGTTTACGTATGTGTGGCATTTTGATTGCTTACAGGTATGCAGCATTTCCCTTGATAACATTTTAGTGGCATTTCCATTGATTAAATTCATGCGGCATTTCCATTCTATACAATTAAGTGCAATTTGAGTTGCTCATATCAATGTTCTCTGGACGAAATGAATAAATTGGGCGCAATCAACCAAATCTCGGGAGGGTTTGGCATCTTGATTCTGAGTCCAGTAACTAACCAGGTGTTAGGTTAGGGACTGAAAATTCATCTAATTAGTAGCGAGGCTTAGTAAATTCCGAAACCAATCAACGTGCTTGATAATCTTTACATGCAATATTAATACCGTGATGGATACCGCAAATTTTAACGTTTTCTCATTGACGTGTTCCCGTGCGTGCTGCAGTACGTGCTCTTCCCCCCACACGCTCCATGCGCTCCAGTCCAGTGAGTCTATTGCTTCAGTTGCTTCTCAGTTGAGGAATTTATTTGATGCTAAGTCAATAGATTCAGTTGGTTCACAGTCGATAAATCCAGTAGGTTCAGAGTAAATGAATTCAATTGCTTCTCAGTTAAGGAATTCAGTTGGTTAAGAGTTAATGAATTTAGTTAGTTCATGGGTAATGAATTTAGTTGGTTCATAGTTGAGGAATTTAGTTGGTTCATGGGTAATGAATTTAGTTGGTTCATAGTTGAGGAATTTAGTTGGTTCAGAGTTAATAAATTTAGTTGGTTCATAGCTGATAAATTCAGTTGGTTCTCAGTCAATAAATTCAGTTGGATCGCAGTCAATAAATTCATTTGGTTCAAAGTTAGTACATTCGCTACTAAAGTTACACCTCAGTAAAAGAATACTGAGTTATGCCTACGAAAAATCGTGTAAACGTTCTGAATTTACTGTAGTGAGCTGCACCTCGAGATAAGTTCCACTAGGCCGGAATTTAAAATGTAATAATGGTATCACAAAATCCTCGTAAAGATGAAGAATAATCTGTAGCTTTGCACAATGACGACACTGAGCAGAGGTGTCAACAGAATTATGCTCGCAATAATATCGTGAAAAGTTGTATCCCCTACAAGTGCTTACAAACTAGCCAAATTTATTCCATAACTTCATTGAACTAACTCCTTCATATTATGAACCGATTATAATGTTCGCCTTTATTGAACATTCTTACGATTATCAGTATGATGCCGCTGTGTTGCCGTCCCCCAGTTAATGATCAAGTTGTAGTCAAGTGTGATATACCAAGCCTCCAAACTATTGCTGTATAGGAATGTGTAAATAAGACTAGATTGAGAAGGAAGATCTTCAGCTAAGCAGCATGGGAGCTTGGTTGAACCCTGTCGAGGTTCCTTAATTGTTCTGTTGTGTATAATAGAAGTAATGTTTTAACTTGGGACGCGACCGAGTTTTCCGACACAGTGGCCAGAAAAATCAATGTTTAGGAAGCAATTGAAAACGAGAACGTTATGTTGGACATCATTGCTCGAGAAGCATTGATGCCAGGAATGTTTCGAGCAAATTGAGACAAATATTAGGTTGTGGTGAAACGCAAAGTTCGGATGTGTTAGCAAATTTTTGATTGAGAGGGATTGTTAGAAAATGATGACAGGAAATAGTCGTTCCTGAAGTGATTAAGTGAAATATTTATTATATTTTCCTCTGGTTAAAAAGAGAAGAAGGTTAGGTTCGGTGCTGGAGAGGTTGAGAGCGCGGCTTGGTAAGCAGCTTGTCTAATCGCGAGATAGGCACGAGAGATAGCGAGCCTGCTCGCTTTTCCAGTTAACCGTCCTGCAGTACAATCACTTGCATCCCTCCCTTATGGGGGGCCATCAGAGGGATCAATTACTGAAATAGCTCTAATTTCTTTTAATAATATATTTAATAATATTTAATTTGAATTCTAAAATACTGATACAATCACTTGCATCCCTCCCTTATGGGGGGCCATGATCAGAGGGATCAATTACTGAAATATCTATAATTTCTTTTAATAATATCTTTAAAATTTAATTTAAATACTAAAATACTGATACAATCACTTGCATCCCTCCCTTATGGGGGGCCATCAGAGGGATCAATTACAGAAATGTCTTTAGTTTCTTTTAATAATATCTTTAATTTAAAGATGATTTTGAAGAACTTTAATTTTTGCATTCTAAAATACTGACTGGCAAGTTAAGATAAGATATGCTTACTTTGTCCTCCATTTCGTTGCAGCAATGATTTGTGTTACATTTCAAATCGAATCAAATTATCAAAACTCCTAATAAAGAAAGCTTTACATATACGCAATGCGCACTTACTTATGGACAAAAATAAATAAAAGATCGTTGGCCGAAAGTGGGTTGAACTGGGGTCTAACTGTTGAGACAGTAAAAGAGGGCTTAATTGGAAATAAAATAAGCTATAATTCCTCTGAAAATAATTCACAATTTGTAAGAATCAATAACTTGGAGAGGAGAATTGAGGCTGTATATGCTACTTACTATACTACTGCCATGCTGCTTACTGTCAGTCATGCTACTTACTGTACTACTGCCATGCTACTTACTGTCAGTCATGCTACTTACTGTACTACTGCCATGCTACTTACTGTCAGTCATGCTACTTACTACATATACTACTGCCATGCTACTTACTGTCAGTCATGCTGCTTACTGTACACGCTGCCATGCTACTTACTGTCAGTCATGCTACTTACTGTCAGTCATGCTACTTACTGTACTACTGCCATGCTACTTACTGTCAGTCATGCTACTTACTATACTACTGCCATGCTATACTTACTGTCAGTCATGCTACTTACTATACTACTGCCATGCTACTTACTGTCAGTCATGCTACTTACTATACTACTGCCATGCTACTTACTGTCAGTCATGCTGCTTACTGTACACGCTATTCTTACCCGAACTGTTCATGCTTATGCCAGAGTGTAGCCTTGCTTATGGTAATATCAACCTGAGTACGGTATTATTAACTCATTTAAATTTTTTTACATTTGCCTGTCATTTATTGAGAATTTTTTGGCTAACTTAGTTTTGCTTTTGTCTGTGATTTTAAATGCGTTTCTCTTTCTGCTTTTTATTATTCATCTTTCATTTAGTATATAACGCGTGATTGTTATTTGTTTTATTTGTAGTTTAACCTTTGCTTAATATCTCCTTTTGTTTTGATCATAACGCTCATGTTCACTTTTATTTCGACAGTTTTATTTAATTTCGACATTTTTATTTTATTTCGACAGTTTTATTTAATTTCGACATTTTTATTTTATTTCGACATTTTTATTTTATTTCGACAGTTTTATTTAATTTCGACAGTTTTATTTTATTGCGACAGTTTTATTTAATTTCGACAGTTTTATTTATTTCGACATTTTTATTTTATTTCGACAGTTTTATTTAATTTCTTTTCGACATTTTTATTTTATTTCGACATTTTTATTTTATTTCGACAGTTTTATTTTATTCCGACAGTTTTATTTTATTTCGACAGTTTTATTTTTTGACTGTTTTATTTTATTTCGACAGTTTTATTTTATTGCGACAGTTTTTTATATTTCGACAGTTTTATTGTATCTCGACAGTTTTTTTTTTTTCGACAGTTTATTTTTTTTCGACAGTTTATTTTTTGACTGTTTTATTTTATTTCTAGTTTTATTTTATGCTAAGCTTGGCAAATTGTAATGTTGTCCCCTCTTGGGGTAATGCAGGTCGAGGACCCAGGGACGCTCATCCTGCTGGGGACCGTCCCGAGCACCCCTCCCCAGGGCCTGAGCATCTGCTGCAGCTGGTCACAGAGTGCTGGGTGGAGCCCCAGAACGGGCTGGTCGCGCCCTTTGTGCCGCCCAGGTACTGTCCCTCGGTCGCCCACACTCCCCTCTGCGCTTGCCCTCATCTCAACGGCCTCTCTTACTACCAGATCCCGCCTGCTGTGAGTACACCTTTTGATTTTGTCACGAAATAGTTTTAATTCACTATTTTATTTTCTTATTTAGTACGGAAACTAATCACGAAATAGTTTCTATTCACTATGTTATTTTCTTATTTAGTATCTACGGAAAATAATCACGAAATAGTTTCTATTCACTATGTTATTTTCTTATTTAGTATCTACGGAAAATAATCACGAAATAGTTTCTATTCACTATGTTATTTTCTTATTTAGTATCTACGGAAAATAATCACGAAATAGTTTTATTCACTATTTTATTTTCTTATTTAGTACGGAAACTAATCACGAAATAGTTTCTATTCACTATGTTATTTTTTTATTTAGTACGGAAAATAATCACGAAAAAGTTTCTATTCACTATTTTATTTTCTTATTTAGTACGGAAACATGAAATGAATTTTAAACGAAAACAATGTTTTGCACCTATTGTTTTAGTTTTTATTCTTTTTCGTATTTTGTCTGGAAACATGAGATGAATTCTAAACCAAAACAAGGTTTTGCAATTAATCACGAACTATTGTTTTAGTTTTTGTTATATTTTCTTATTTTGTTAGGAAACATGGGATGAATTTTAACGAAAACAATGTTTGACAATTTTCATATTGGAATTATTTTCAAATTATTTTTATTCTTACCATACCTCAAGTAAAGAGCAAGTACACAACGGAACGTATTTTTGATACTTTCTTTTTATTAAATTAATATCACAATGTAATGGCGCAATGTGCTACAGCCACGCATAGTATAGGAATCAATCGACATGTTGTCAATTAATATTATTTTAGGTTCCATGAATTAACCGCTGAATTTTGCGTGTTAATGATGAGTTTACTCGATTGTTTTTTGTTTGATATCAAACAAAATTATTTATTGAATTCTTGACCGAATGGGGGATATGATCGTAGAATATAACTTATTATCCTCAGTATTGGTTTCTGAAATGTTATTGTTGCATGTGTTGTACAGGTATATAATATAGCGAATAGCAAGGGTTCTAGCAAATAAAATTCTTCCAGCAAATAGCAAGTCTTCTAGCAAAAGCAAGTCTTCTAGCAAAAGCAAGTCTTCCAGCAAAAGCAAGTCTTCTAGCAAAAGCAATAGCGAATCGTTTTACCAAGACCCTTGAATTGAAACTACAGAATGATTTTTACGTTATTATTGAAGTTATTTTATATGAAAGGTTCCGTGCAACGAGGCTCCGAACGATTAAGATTTAACTGCAACAAATTTCGAGTTCATTTCGAACAAGTTCTTATTCAGGTGAACGATTTCGTATTAATTTCGGACATTTTTTACACAATTTCTGAGTTATGTAAAAGAATTGTTCGTTCATATAGAACGAATTTTTTATTTATGTGAACAATTCCGTGTTCTTTTCAAACATTCCTGCATTTCGAGTAATCTTTGATTAATGTAAACGATATTTCGTTTATTTTCATCAATTTTGATTTCTTGAACAACAATTTAATTTTATTTTGTCGAAATTTGGTTCGACTCCAGTCTCGATAAATTGACTTTCTTAATTTGAGAGCTCTATACAGATGTAGATACCTAACACACTAAAAGATTCTATTTGTCACTACTTCTCGAGCGCCATGATATCGAGAAATTTGATATTAAATTTTCCTGTTTGTGTAATGACCTCCGAAAGCTTATTGTGTACCCACTTATTAACTCCTTGAAAATGTTTGACGTATCGGTGTCATTTTTATCATATTTTGACCTCGGGTGTCATGATAAGTGATCCCAGAGCTTTACTTACTGCTGCAGAGCAAACGATAAAGCATTTCTTCGTGAAATTAATTATGATTCTAAACATGGCTGGTTGAAAGGTTGAATAAAGTGAAGGCCCAACTGCGTTCATTTCGCCTAAAATCCGTCACATTATCGCACAATAATGTCGCACTCATCCTGGTAGGATTTGCTAGAAATGATCCCCAAATTAATGTTCGTCAAAAATTAAACGGTTTATGATGAGCACGTTTTTATGCTCTGATGATTTTTTTTATTCTTATGCCTTTTTAATTTTGCCTTCAATGCGAATAGAACTTGAGGTTAATACTTGCCCGCAAGAGTCGGCATCTTTGTAGGATGACACATTTTTGTGGGCATCTCTGTACGATGACACATTTTCGCGGGTGTCTCTGTACGATGACACATTTTCGCGGGTATCTCTGTACGATGACACATTTTTGCGGACATCTCTGTACGATGACACATTTTTGCGGGCATCTCTGTACGATGACACATTTTTGCGGGCATCTCTATACGATGACACATTTTTCATTCTACGTTATTGTTGATTTCCCTGCGCCGGTGTATTCCTCAAAGAAAAGTCTCGGGTATATTTCGTGCACAGCATGTACGGTTTGAAAATCAGCAAGTTTTGTGTGCTTTGCGGTCTGTTTTCCACTAGTAACGTGACATGTTGAGCTTAGGGCTTGTATTAACTCGTCGAGATGCTCCAGAAAATGATGTTAACCTTCTCCCATCTCACACTGGTTTGGTGTCAATTCCAGTCTGTCATTATTATTTCCCGAACCAGCTGTTTAGGAACCTGCTTGGTCCCAAACCAAATCATTATTATTTCCCAAACCAAATCATTATTATTTCCCAACCAATTTCCTCCAAGAAGTTTACCAATCGATCGGTATTGGATTTGCGACACTACTACGAGTGTCAATAGTGATTGCAATGCAAAATGATCAACGTAGAAGTAAGAAACTCACCTTGCCACAAATTTCTTGTTAATTTTCAACTTTCTTCTATCTCTAGATTTCTTTAATGTTCAACGTTAAAGGAAATATATATATTGGCCATCGTCAGTGTCGATCAATCCCCAAAACAAAAGTTACCGTCAGGAAAAAATGTGTTGAGATCCAATTGAAGATTTGCGTTGGAAACGAATAACACGGCAATTTTTATCCGATTAAATTCAAGTTGTGTGCGACTTAAATGCAAAGTAAAACATTAAGAACGAAATAAAATTTAGTCAGTACTGCATATCTTCTATTACTCTGAAACGAATAAAGACTATACAAGTCTCGGATGACTGTGAAAGAATGATTAGGCATGAAAATTATCAGATTAGGTCAAGTATTACACTTTGCACATACCACGATAATTAGTGACGGTTAGGACCAGCTACACGAGGCCATGCACCACGCTAATTAGTGACGGTTAGGACCAGCTACACGTAAGTTGATGCTACTTATATGGCCCGTGTGATAGAAGGAACTACAAGAAGCGGCCGGGAAGTAGATTGTAGACAAGCGTTGTCTGGCCCTCATAATTTGCTTTCATTTACAAAGCAATTTATGTAAGCCATATTATTTTTACTTTGAAAATATTTTACATTTTGATTAGACATAATGTTGTTCAGAACATGTCTGAAAAAATCAATCAAATAAATTGTACATGCTGAGTTATAAGTAGGGCGTCATAAGATGAAAAATCCAAGAAACAGATAGCTCTTTATCTTTTTTTATTTGGGACATTCCATCTCGGTAGCGTTCTGGATTTACATTGAAAGTTGAAAATTAGCTCGACTTTCGCCGTCAAGTTTTATGATATAGGTAGTCTAGTCTCGTTTTAAAAAGTGCGAAACTCGGCTGCCTTACCTCATTTTTGGCCACAGATCTTTTATTATTGCTAGCTGAGACTTCTTAGAAACAGGTTTATCAGGTTCAAAAAGGCATAATGGAACTCGACAAAAAATATGAAGTAGTTATCGATTTAGAAATGAGTTACATTCATTCTGAACGAACGACCCGACATTCTCGATTAACAACTATTTTAAATGTATAAATTTCCGTGCTGTTAAATGACCAATTTCCTATTTGAATGTGGCCAATTTTTATACACGAGTTATTTTCTTATAAAAATCCGCATATAACATTTCTTATTTCGTTAATAAATGTGGTCGCTCTACATGATCAAATCGCTTATATTTTAACGGCGTCTTTGCTGTCAGTTTGACGTGCGTGAGGCTCTATGTTATCTTGAGTAGTTAATTATATATTCAAGTGGACGTGCACATTTAATATTTCAGGCTTCGTTGCACACTCCGACGTTGACGAAATTATCTCAAGTGGAGGTCCAAATCATATAAAGAAGCAGAATATTACGCGAAATTCAATGCAGAGTTGTCAAGTGTGTCTCAGAAGATTACCTGGGGCCATAATTTCAAAACTTGCAAAGTGAACGTAAGTATACTTACGCTCTATTTTCTTGTCTATGATTGGTGGATTTTGCTCGAAAGGCCGTCAATGATTGGCTGATGAACTTACGATCTCTTTTTCTGAAAGTATAGGCCCTGAATTCGAGTCAAGACCGTGGCGCGTTGGAAATTTTATCAAAATAAGTTAAGTCAAACAAAATACAAAGATTCCGTCTACGATTTATTTGTAGTTTGCACTACTTCTTTTATTGAGAAATGAATTTTCAAGCTGTAAGTTTTTAGCTTATAGCATTTCCTTAAATGTTTTTTTTCCTCTGCTGGTGCTTCCAGGTGGTTTACAGATCGCTTTGTTAACATATAAACCAACTTCGAAATTACTTAGAGCTTTAAACTTTGGGGAAAAACATTAGCGGAAATTGAAAGTGGCATAATATTCTATTTATCGCGCGGATTTAAAGATTTATTGTTCTGCTAAAGTTTAAATAATTCCAAGAAGAGCTTACGTGTGGCAGTCGTATATATTATCAGTACATTTAGTATTTTAGTACGTCTTTTTTATTACATTGAGAGTAACCTCAATTGCTGGTAAAGATAAGAGTTTACTGCATAATCTGCTGCGAAGATAAAAGCTGGCAGCTTTCAGTCTCACTGACTTAATTAAATCACACGGTTCCAAAGCTGGGATAAAATTCTAAGCGAAGCTTTTTTTATTGCTGCCTGATTTACTGCTGCGGAAGTTTCCTGATCTTAACACCTTTCAGTATAATGATATTTTACCCTGCATCGTTGGTTATTATGG